GCCCATGGCTCACACGCCGCAGGAAGCTCGGGCCACTCTCCCCACCCCACAGCTCACGCGCCGCACCCCACAGCCATCCCACAGCTCAGCTTCCCGGCTGTCCAAGGCTCTTATGCCCCTCCCCTTGCAGGCTACCCCTCCCCCACTCCCTACGTGGCCCCTGGCTACCCGTCCTATCCAGTGCCCACGGCCTATGGCACACCGAGCCCCTATGGAGGGGTCCTTGCTCCCCAGTTCCCGACAGCTGGGTATGGAGCGCCCTATAGCTACGCGACGCCCCAGTATTCCGTGCCGCTGCTAGGGTATGGGGGCACCGTCGTACCCCACGCTGCTCCTAAAGACTCATATGCAGCGCCTGAGCCAGAGCCCGCTGCTGACTACAAGGCGCCTGCTGCAGACTACAAGGCACCTGCTGCTGACTACAAGGCGCCTGCTGCTGACTACAAGGCGCCTGCTGCTGACTACAAGGCACCTGCTGCTGACTACAAGGCGCCTGCTGCTGACTACAAGGCGCCTGCTGCTGACTACAAGGCGCCTGCTGCTGACTACAAGGCACCTGCCGCTGATTACAAGGCACCTGCTGCTGACTACAAGGCACCTGCTGCTGACTACAAGGCGCCCGCTGCTGACTACAAAGCCCCAGCTGCTGGCTATGACTATACGCCTCCTGAAACCGCTTACAAGGCACCTGAAACTGGTTACAAGGCACCTGCTGCTGGCTACGAGTACAAGGCCCCTGAGGGACTGCCCCACAGAGGTTACCATGCCCCAAAACCAACCTACAAGCCTCCCACAGCTTACAAAGCACCCGCACAACACGGTTATGACTACACGCCTCCCCAGACTGCTTACAAGGCCCCTGAAACTGGTTACAAGGCTCCTGAAACTGGTTACAAGGCACCTGTTGCTGACTACAAGGCACCTGCTGCTGGCTATGACTACACGCCTCCCGAAACTGCTTATAAAGCTCCTGAAACTGGTTACAAGGCACCAGCTGCCGGGTACGAGTACAAGGCCCCTGAGGGACTGCCCCACAGAGGTTACCATGCCCCAAAACCGACCTACAAGCCTCCCACAGCTTACAAAGCGCCCGCACAACACGGTTATGACTACACGCCTCCTCAGACTGCTTACAAGGCCCCTGAAACTGGTTACAAGGCACCTGCTGCTGGCTATGACTACACGCCTCCTCAGACTGCTTACAAGGCACCTGAAACTGGTTACAAAGCCCCTGCTGCCGGCTACGTGTACAAAGCCCCCGAGGGACTGCCCCAGCCTGGGTATCATGCCCCCAAACCGACCTACAAACCTCCGACTGCCAGCGGATATGATTATACACCCCCTAAGTCAGACTACCTGCCCCCGAAATCAGATTACGAAGCCCCCAAGTCAGGCTACGTTTACAAGGCCCCGAGGGATTGCCCCAGCCTGGGTATCATGCCCCAAAACCGACCTACAAGCCTCCCACGGCTTACAAAGCGCCCGCACAACACGGTTATGACTACACGCCTCCTGAAACTGCTTACAAGGCACCAGAAACTGGTTACAAGGCACCTGCTGCTGACTACAAGGCACCTGCTGCTGACTACAAGGCACCTGCTGCTGGCTATGACTACACTCCTCCTCAGACTGCTTACAAGGCGCCTGAAACTGGCTACAAAGCCCCTGCTGCCGGCTACGAGTACAAGGCCCCTGAGGGACTGCCCCACAGAGGTTACCACGCCCCGAAACCAACCTACAAGCCTCCCACGGCTTACAAAGCACCCGCACAACACGGTTATGACTACACGCCTCCCCAGACTGCTTACAAGGCTCCTGAAACTGGTTACAAGGCACCTGCTGCTGACTACAAGGCACCTGCTGCTGACTACAAGGCACCTGCTGCTGACTACAAGGCACCTGCTGCTGACTACAAGGCACCTGCTGCTGGCTATGACTACACGCCTCCTCAGACTGCTTACAAGGCTCCTGAAACTGGTTACAAAGCCCCTGCTGCCGGCTACGTGTACAAAGCCCCCGAAGGACTGCCCCAGCCTGGGTATCATGCCCCCAAACCGACCTACAAGCCTCCGACTGCCAGCGGATACGATTATACGCCTCCTAAGTCAGACTACCTGCCCCCGAAATCAGATTACGAAGCCCCCAAGTCAGGCTACGTTTACAAGGCCCCCGAGGGATTGCCCCAGCCTGGGTATCATGCCCCAAAACCGACCTACAAGCCTCCCACGGCTTACAAAGCGCCCGCACAACACGGTTATGACTACACGCCTCCTGAAACTGCTTACAAGGCACCAGAAACTGGTTACAAGGCACCTGCTGCTGACTACAAGGCACCTGCTGCTGACTACAAGGCACCTGCTGCTGGCTATGACTACACGCCTCCTCAGACTGCTTACAAGGCGCCTGAAACTGGCTACAAAGCCCCTGCTGCCGGCTACGAGTACAAGTCCCCTGAGGGACTGCCCCACAGAGGCTACCACGCCCCGAAACCAACCTACAAACCACCAACTGCCAGCGGATACGACTATACACCCCCTAAGTCAGACTACCTACCCCCGAAATCAGACTATGAGGCTCCTGCAGCTGGCTATGTGTACAAAGCTCCAGAAGGACTGCCGCACCCAGGCTACCACGCCCCGAAACCGACCTACAAACCACCAACTGCCAGTGGATACGACTATACACCCCCCAAGTCGGACTACCTACCCCCGGCTACCCGCCCCGAAAACCGACCTACAAACCACCAACTGCCAGTGGATACGACTATACACCCCCCAAGTCGGACTACCTACCCCCGAAATCAGACTACGAGGCCCCCAAGTCAGGCTACGAGTACAAAGCTCCCGAGGGACTGCCCCACAGAGGCTACCACGCCCCGAAACCGACCTACAAACCACCAACTGCCAGCGGATACGACTATACACCCCCCAAGTCGGACTACCTGCCCCCGAAATCAGACTACGAGGCCCCCAAGTCAGACTACGAAGCCCCCAAGTCGGGTTACAAGATCCACGACCCTTCGTACTCGACCACGATGGACCCCAACTGGAGGCCCAAGTTCACGACTCCCTACCCAGACGCCGTGACCTTCGTCCCGCCCTACGACTACAGCCAATACCACGACGGGTGGCTCTCCAAGGAGCACCACGCCGACGCCCACTACCAGATCGACTACAAGCTCGACTCCGCCCACGCGCCCTCGGTCTCCACCTACGGGGGGGTGCATCACGCCGACCACGAGCCAGGCTACGAACCGGACCCGACGATCTACCCGGCCACCGACGCCCACGCGCCCTCGGGCGGCTACGGGTACGCCACGCCCAAGCCGGCCTATCACGAGGCGCCCGCTGCTGACTACAAGGCACCTGCCGCTGACTACAAGGCACCTGCCGCTGACTACAAGGCACCTGCTGCTGACTACAAGGCGCCTGCCGCTGACTACAAGGCACCTGCTGCTGACTACAAGGCGCCCGCTGCTGACTACAAGGCACCTGCTGCTGACTACAAGGCGCCCGCTGCTGACTACAAGGCACCTGCCGCTGACTACAAGGCGCCCGCCGCTGACTACAAGGCACCTGCTGCTGACTACAAGGCCCCAGCTGCTGACTACAAGGCACCTGCTGCTGACTACAAGGCGCCCGCCGCTGACTACAAGGCACCTGCTGCTGACTACAAGGCCCCAGCTGCTGACTACAAGGCCCCAGCTGCTGACTACAAGGCCCCAGCTGCTGACTACAAGGCACCTGCTGCTGACTACAAGGCCCCAGCTGCTGACTACAAGGCACCTGCTGCTGACTACAAAGCCCCAGCTGCTGACTACAAAGCCCCAGCTGCTGACTACAAAGCCCCAGCTGCTGACTACAAAGCCCCAGCTGAAGACTACAAAGCCCCAGCTGCTGACTACAAGGCACCTGCCGCTGACTACAAGGCCCCAGCTGCTGCCGGCTACGACTACACCCCTCCTGCTGCCGCCTCCCTCCCCCCCCCTGACTACGGGCAAGCGGAGAGAGTCTACGGCGTCCAAGGAGCGGCACCCATCTACGCCCCCCCCACGCTGCCACACAGGGTGAGTAGGCGAGTCGTTAGTAAGGTTATAAGTATTGTAGGGAGAGTCATAAGTGGTATTGTAAATAGAGTCGTAAGTGGTGTTGTAAGTATTGTAAGTAGAGTCGTAAGTGGTGTTGTAAGTATTGTAAATAGAGTCGTAAGTGGTGTTGTAAGTGTTGTAAGTAGAGTCGTAAGTGGTGTTGTAAGTATTGTAAGCAGAGTCACAAGTGGTGTTGTAAGTATTGTAAGTAGTGTTGTAAGTATTGTAAGTAGTAGTGTTGTAGGGAGAGTCAGGGGAAACAGAGGAGCTAACGGCACCTTAGATAGCAGCCTGGAACATCACCGTGCTATCAGGGGGACTGACAGGTGCTTAGATAGGAGCCTGGAACATCACCGTGCTATCAGGGAGACTGACAGAAGCTTAGATAGGAGCTTGGAACATCACCGTGCTATCAGGCGATGTGACAGAAGCTTAGATAGCAGCTTGGAACCTCACCGTGCTATCAGAGGATGTGATAGGAGCGTAGATAACAGCTTGGAACATCACCGTGCTATCAGGAGGACTGACAGGTGCTTAGATAGGAGCTTGGAACATCACCGTGCTATCAGGGGGAATGACAGGTGCTTAGATAGGAGCCTGGAACATCACCGTGCTATCAGAGGATGTGATAGGAGCGTAGATAGCAGCCTGGAACATCACCGTGCTATCAGGGGGACTGACAGGAGCCTTAGATAGCAGCCTGGAACATCACCGTGCTATCAGAGGATGTGACAGGACCTTAGATAGCAGCTTGGAACATCACCGTGCTATCAGAGGATGTGACAGGACCTTAGATAGCAGCCTGGAACATCACCGTGCTATCAGGCGATGTGACAGAAGCTTAGAAAGCAGCTTGGAACATCTTGGTCTTTACAACAGAATGATCGATCGCCCACGCTATCAATGGAACTGACAGGGACTTACAAGATGATCGATCACCCTATCAGTGGAACCGACTGGAGCTTAAATAACAGCTTGGAACATCCTGGTCTTTACGTGATGATTGGTGGCCCATGCTATTAGGGGAACCTAATAGCATCCCGTCATCCTCCTTGTCCTCCTCCTTGTCCTCCTCCTCCATCCTCCTCCTCCTCCTCAACAACAGGATGATCGCCCGTGCTGTCAGGGGAACGGAAAGTAATTAGAACTGAGATAGGGAGACGTAGCAACGGCACAATGAGCTGGTTATGCCTACTACTGGTCAGGTCAGAGCAACGTCCACCGGGGAGTTAGCCATAGCCACCTCGGACTGACTCCATCCTTCGTTAGTGGAGGTTCGTCCTATCTGTCCTGTCTGTCTATTGAAATTGGTTTTGGTTTTCGCATCTACTATGGCTACATACGATCCTCCCGACGCTCGTAAAATCAGCGTAAAAATTGGCATTCCTGACTCCCGTACGTGGCAGTCATTCTTCCTAACGAGGAAACATTCGCACCTGTTCTTGGAGTCTTCGCTAGAGAGCCTCTGGTTGGGACTGAACTGTCTACGAGATGCCTGTTGGCTCTCATGACTTGGGAGAGGATGAACCCAGAGGTGAGAACAGCCTCCTCCTCCTCCTTCCTCCTTCCTCCTTCTCCTTGTCCTCCTCCTCTCCTCCTCTCCTCCTTCCTCCTCCTCTTCCTCCTCCTCTCCTTCTCCTCCTCCTTCTCCTTGTCCTCCTCTCCTCCTCCTCCTTCCTCCTCCTCCTTTTCCTCCTCTCCCCCTCTCCTTTTCCTCCTCCTCCTCCTTCCTCTTCCTCCTCCTCCTTCTCTTCCTTCCTCCTGAGCAGATTGACCGCGTCCTTGCTAGCACGTGCTCCCTCTAACACTGCAGAGTTAACTGGAGTGCCGAGTTAAGTGGCACTGAGCACAGACTGGCTCTAGATGGCTTTCAGGTCAACTTTCAAACCCCCGTTTCTCTAGGCTGTCTTCCTTAGACTGAGAAAGGAGGATTTGGGCACAGAAGTTGCCTCTCTAGTAAGTCGTACTTAGACTGAGGAAGGAGGACTGTGCGCGAAAGTTGCCTCTCCAGACTGTCTTCCTTAGACTGTGAAAGTATTATTATGCCTGGAACTTGCCGCGACTATCCTAATAAGTGTCCGAAATATGGGTCGACCCATTCGCGCCGGAGTAAAAAAAAAAAAAATGGGGAAAATACTGTGATCATTTTTTTATACTTTTTTGTGAAAGGTGTTCTACCCATAGATGAATCCTTTTCATTACTTCATTTATTCATTTACCTCGATTTCTTTTAGGTTCTGGACCCTTACGCCGCGGTCTCTGTCTAACGACGATCCATTAATCATATTTAATAACCAATCAATTATTTATATATTTACTTATCTATTTATTTATATATCTAATATATTAATTTTTTCTTTTATTCATTTACCTCGATTTATTTTAGGTTCTGGACCCCCTACGCTGTGGTTTCTGTCTAACGACGATCCATTAATATTTAATAACCGATCAATTAATTTATTTATCTATATAACTTTTTAATTCATTAATTATTACTCTATATCATTTTATATCCATTAATTCATTAATTTATCTCGATTTATTTTAGGTTCTGGATCCCTACGCCGCGCTGCCTGTGTACGACGATCTATTAACCATATCTAATAACCAATCATTTGCTTATTTATTTATTCATTTATCTATTTAATATATTGACTTATCAATTTATTTATATATCTAATATATTCATTCCTTCATTTATTCATTTATCTCGATTTATTTTAGGTTCTGGAACCCCTACGCCGCGCTGCCTGTGTACGACGATCTATTAACCATATCTAATAACCAATCATTATTTATCTATTTAATATATTAATTCCTTCATTTATTCATTTATCTCGATTTATTTTAGGTTCTGGATCCCTACGCCGCGGTCTCTGCCTAACGACGATCTATTAACCATATCTAATAACCAATCATTTGCTTATTTATTTATTCATTTATCTATTTAATATATTAATTCCTTCATTTATTCATTTATCTCGATTTATTTTAGGTTCTGGATCCCTACGCCGCGCTGCCTGTGTACGACGATCTCTATTTGGCTCCGCGGCCTCTGAGGAGGAGGAGGCCAGGACGGAGGCGCTTCAGAGGGAGAGTGTGGCGCTCTGTCGAGTAAATTTTCTCTTCTCTCTCTCTCTCTCTTTCTCTCTTTCTCTCTCTTTCTCTCTCTTTCTCTCTCTTCTTTTTTTTCTCTTGGTCTTTCTTTGTCTCTCTTTCTTTTTTTTCTCTGGGTCTTTCTTTGTCTCTCTCTCTCTCTTTCTTCTTCTCTCTGGCTCTTTCTTTGTCTCTCTTTCTTTTTTTCTCTGGGTCTTTCTTTGTCTCTCTCTCTCTCTTTCTTCTTTTCTCTCCTTCTCTTCTCTCTGGCGCTTTCTTCTTGTCGCCTTTCGGGGGGGAGGAGGGGGTCTTTCTTT